TCTCCCACTCCCCCTGCTTGTGTTCCCTCTCTCGCTGTGTCTCTCTCTGTCAAATAAATAAATAAAATCTTAAAAAAAAAAAAAAAAAAAGAAGCCATTGAGAAATGCAGGAAAGACAAACCCAGAAGGCAGGCTCTGAGAGTGAACTTTTCTCTGCAGGTCCTACTTAAAGGGAGCAGCGGGGAGGGCTCCTTGGGCTTCCTAGGGTACTGTCCCCAGGAGAACGTGCTGTGGCCCAATCTGACCATGAAGGAGCACCTGGAGGTGTTTGCTGCCATTAAAGGGCTGAGGAAAGCGGACGCAGCCATCACCATCTCCAGGTGGGTGGGAGCCACACCTGTTCTATACCTGTGGGGGCAGGAGACGGTCGGGAGTGAGGAGCTTCACTGTCAGTTCAGGACAGGAGACTGAACCCTGACCCAAATCACACTGGGTAGATTCCCCTCTAGAAACTGGTTTCCCAGATTTCAAAGTGTTAATTTTCTTCTCATAGTAAATATAAAAATAGTAACCATTGGTGAAAGTTATCAAAAATACTAAAATTTAAGTATAAAGTATTTCTCATAGACCAACTATTTAAAAATCATGAAATGGGCTTATATTCTTTTAAAAGGGAAAACTATCTGGAGGGATCAAACCAGCCAGTTTAAGATTGCCTGGCCTGGGGCCCCTAGGTGGCTCAGTCCGTTAAGCGTCTGCCTTCAGCTTAGGTCATGATCTGGGGTCCTGAGATCAAGCCCCGGGTTGGGCTCCCTGCTCAGTGGGCAGTCAGCTTCTCCCTCTCTCTCTGCCCCTCCCCCCCAATAAATAAATAAACTCTTTTAAAAAAATTGCCTGGCATCTATTTTCTGAACTGCATTTCTGAGCTCTGCTCCCCATTCCTGTGCTGGGTGGCCCATCCTCCTACCAACTTCCTTACTGCGATGCTCCATTGTGTTTGCTCCAGATTGGTGGATGCGCTCAAGCTGCAGGACCAGCTGAAGCTGCCCGTGAAGGCCTTATCCGAGGGAATAAAGGAAGGGGGGGGGGCTCAGTGTTACTCTGCGCATCCCACACGTCGGTGCCAGACATGCTGTTCTCCCGTTCCAGGTGTGCTTCGCGCTGAGCATCCTGGGAAACCCATCGGTGGTGCTTCTGGACGAGCCGTCCACGGGGGTGGACCCCGAGGGGCAGCAGCAGATGTGGTGAGGGACGCTATCCAGTCACGGACGGCCCCAAAGCCTTGCAGGAAATTTGTGAATTGTTTTACTTGTGTAAAAATGGTCCCTTAAACTGTTTCTTAATGTGGGGGGGTGGGGGAAGGGAGAACACCTCTCAATATCATTAGTAACACCAATATTTTGCGAAACAAACACCAACCCTCTCCCTGATAATATTTCATCATTGAAGAAAAAATAAACATTGGCAGGACCCAGACACACTCACTGTAAGTAGTACCACTGGCCCAGTGATCTTTCATTAGGTAGGGGTGGTGCATCCCTGGGCCACGGGGGCCGTGGCCAGTGCTGGGGGAGGGGGGAATGGTAATTCCCATTAGGCTGTAAAGGTGGGGGCGGGTTCCGGATGTTATCTTGAATATTTATTCTGCATTTATTTTCTCCTACTAGGTTGTGACCCCCCCTGTTGTTGAATTCTGTCTCTCTGGCACAGCCCTTTCATGAACAATCTCTTGCTCAGCATTTCTCTCTCAACACAAGCTCGGGATGAACTCTGTGTTCCCGGACAGCTCCTCTTCTAGTGCCTGCCTCCGCCTCACGCCCTCACCTGGCTCGCCCTTCCTCCTCCCACCTGCCCTCTCAAGGGTCCTCCCTTGCGTGAGCTCCTTTTGCTAATTACTCACAGGCATGCCGGTTAAAAATTCTTCTCCCCGCCCATCTATGATTAATTCGAAATCTTTCTTCACTGCAAATGGTCTTTTGACGATTTAGGCAGGTGATCCGGGCCACCTTCAAAGACACAGAGAGGGGCGCCCTCCTGACGACCCACTACATGGCAGAGGCTGAGGCCGTGTGTGATCGCGTGGCCATCGTGGTGTCCGGGGAGCTGAGGTGGGTGCCCGTCCCCGCCCACACTCCCCCCCGCCGGCAACAGGTGCATGGCTGGAGGAGTTTGTCCGCGCACAGCACGACTGTAGCTACTGCATCTGGGTCTAACAGTGACACCCTGGAGACAACCCTAGCAGCAAATCAGGAGTCTCAAACATTGTGTGCCCGGTCTCTTTCCCCTTTCTGTGACGACCTCATCCTCCTCTGACCTCCAGATGTATCGGTTCCATCCAACACCTGAAGAGTAAATTTGGTAAGAATTATCTGCTGGAGATGAAGGTGAAGACCCCGGAGCAGAGGGAAAGCCTCCATCGTGAAATTCTGAGGGTTTTCCCCCAGGCTGCCCGGCAGGAAAGGTAAAGTTGGCTGCTGAGTTTGATTTGATACCAAATGTCAGCTTTTCCTTGCTGGTTTCATTCATTTGTTGTCATTAGAGTCCATATTTAGCCCAAAAGGAAACCTAAAAGAAAGTATCTGTTGGACACTGCAGAAACTAAATTAGAGAAGAGGAGAGCTGGATGGAAAATCAGAGGTAGCATGTGTTGCAGTCTTACTAGCTGCAAGATACCGTCCTGGTCTTGTGCTGTCGTATTTAATCTGCACTGAAACTTTCCAGGGTAGACACTGTTTTTCCAGTGAAAAATGAGATGATTTCAAAAAAGCATTGTGAGCGTCTGGCCACTACAAGGACCTTAATAAATGGAATTGACTGTTATCTTTAAGCATAGGAAACTGAGAAGTTAAGTCACACGACAGCTAACAAGGGGCATAGGTAGAATAGAAAGCTAATTATTTTCTTTCAAATCTATTAACACTTCCAATTTTATGCACAGTCTGGTCATGGAACAGTTCTCAGGAAAATCATACAGTAGAAATCAAAGATTAATGTTAGAGTCATTTTTAACACCTCGAATTTACTGCAGAAGACAGATGATTTAGGAGTTAGGGGGGAAAACAGATAGAAAAGAGTAATAATAAGTCATAACAATATGGTGGGAAAATATATTTCTACACTGGAGTATAAATGTCAAAGCAAATGCTGTACCTCAATGTGCAGCCCACGACCAAATAGAAATAGGTCATAAAGGCACAGGGAATGAGCAGAATAGATGAGAATGATCACCCCATAAATAGAGGAAACAGTATCTTATGAAATGAAATCAAAATCTTCCTGATTTTCAAATGATGAAAAGACAAACATTAATCTGGGTAACAAATTATTTAAAAAAAAAACCAAAAAACTGTTCCCGAACATTATTTGGTGCTGAATTCCTGGCGATTTCCAGTCTCCTCATCAGAGACTCATTGATAACCTAAATTAGAAAAGTAGTTTGGCAATGAATCATGGAACACTGCATCAAAAACTAATGATGTAATGGATGGTGATTAACATAACATAATAAAAAGAAAAAAGTAGTTTGGGTAACATGGGGCAAGGTTGGAGAGGTAAGAGTTCTCTAGAGAAAAGACCTAGACCCCCACCTGAGTTGAGTGACTTTAAGAAACTATGTAGCATCAGTCCCTGGTGGAAGATGAAGCTTGAGAAGCAAGTGTTCAGCTGAAAAGATAAGGTGGCAGGCAACTTTGGAAATGTCCACGTTTCATCTGCCCCATACCCGCTCCTCTCCATCCCGAGCCTCTCCCCTCACCAGGTTCTCCTTGTGAACAGCCTCACCCTAGGCATTTCGCCTGCCCCACACTGACTCTTATTTATCAGGGTAACGACCAGAGACAGGGTCGCAGCCAGCTTGGCCCTGCAAGTGGTATCAGCCTCAGCCCCGCCTCTGTCCCTGCAGGTACTCTTCTGTGATGGTCTATAAACTGCCAGTGGAAAATGTGCGACCTTTAGCACAAGCTTTCTGCACGTTAGAGAAGGGTAAGAGCGATAAACTTTGAAATGAGATCCCAGGAAGCAGATAATTCCAGATCATAGACTAATCCATCGGCCTGACAAGAACAGAATGGGAGCTAAGGTGTTAATTTTAAAGATTTTATTTGTTTATTTATTTTAAGAGAAAGAGAGCACGAGTGGGCAGAGTGGGGGAGAGAGAGAGAGAATCTCAAGCAGACTCCGTGCTCAGCATGGAGCCCAACACGGGGCTTGATCCCACGACCCTGAGATCCTGACCTGAGCCAAAATCAAGAGTCAGACACTTAATTGACTGTGCCACCCAGGCGCCTCTAAGGTGTTAATTTTTAAAGTTAAAAATTGCCAATTGAACTTTAGGGGCACAAAAAAATCAAAGAAGTGGAGGTATTCTGTGTTGGGGTGTTGGGGGGCAGGGGCTTAATGGGAGTGATTTTACTTTTGCTTTGTGGGGTTTTTGCATGTGTTTTTGTATATATGTATATATATATATGTGTGTGTGTATATATTGATATAGGGAAAACCTAAATCAAAATTCAGTTGTGTATGCATTCAAGGAGGACACTTTCTTTGGGAACATTGATGCATGATGCATGTTTACAGTTTAATTTTATATGGACTTGCATGTTACTTATGGCCTTAGGCTGTGTATTAAGAAACTGGCCTCCTGCCTGGTTATTAAAACAATCTTCCTGTGTCTGTTGCACTTCACAGCTAGCCACACTGCATCTGTCATCACCACCCCGTGTTTGTCTTGCCACCTGAGCTCATTAACTCTGCCTCTCTGAACTGTGCTAGCCGGAACTCCCTCCGTATATGCTCTTTTCATTGTCACGGCTCAGTGACCTTTTTGCCTGCTTGTCACCTTCCCTAGGGAAGAGATTCAAGTCTCCTGGTTCTAGAAGACTCTTTGTACTCCTGCCGATAGCATTGATGGCCACAGGGACACCCCCTTTCCATTCTCTGCGCCGAGCACCCCAACCTTCTGGACCACGTGATCATGCAAACACTCCCAGATTGGCACCGTGGCCAGTACTGGCCTGGTACGGTTGGTGACATTTCCAGGCTGCTGCCTCCTATCAGGGCTCTGACTACCCTTCCCATCTATTCTGGTCAAGGAGAAAGGTTTTCAACTCACTTAGGAGCAAGAGGTCACGGTAGAAAGAGGGTCACAAAGGATACCTGCTCCCCAGGAAACCTCAGACATCTTTCTGCATAATCTTCTGAGGCTTCCCTTTGCAAAACATGTCTTCCTTCCACCTCTTCTTATGCTCAGTGTGCAAAAGCACTAGCTCACACGTACCGGGAAGGAAACCTTTGCAGCACTGTTTCCTGCTTAAGTAGAAATCTCCAACACTGTGCTAAATGAGCATAGCGTGCATACTTTTCTCCCCAAACCCAAGTGAATGCATGGGTGTATTTTTAACTGCATGCCATACTTAAATCAGGAACATTTTTATCTAAACATTTTTATGTAAGATTTTTTAAAAATTGCTATTTGTACGGTATGCTGACTTCTGAGACTGTCTGGGTATAAAAATAGATGAACTCCTAACGTCCGTCCGTCCTTCTGCAGTTAAACAGAGCTTCGACCTGGAGGAGTACAGCCTCTCCCAGTCCACCCTGGAGCAGGTGGGTCAGTGTGCGTGACTCGGTTCATTCATGCACCTTAAATGTACAACATGAGCGGACGCTTTGCACTCACTTGGAGCTACGGAGGCAGTGTGGCATCTCTCCCCCTTTATTTCTTGTCCATCTCAGGTTTTCCTGGAACTCTCCAAGGAACAGGAGCTGGATGACTTTGAGGAAGAACTTGACCCTTCAGTGAGGAGGAAACTCCTCCCACAGGAAGACCCTTAAAGCCCAAATACCCTATGTTTCCATTCAAGCATGTGGTTATTTTTTAAGACATTGATTTTTATAGCATCAATGTCATATTTTTAGCAACTGTATTATAAACACCAACATGGTTCTTCCTGTGGTGGAGAGGAGGGGGGAGCAATGCCTGGGCAGTCCCAGCTACCACGTGGACAGAGGCCCGTGGCTGAGCCCTCCTCCCAGTCACTGCCTCTGTGTCTCTGCAGGTCACCCCGATTCCACTTTTCTGTACAATACTGAATAAATAAATTTACTTTTATGAGGTCGTTTCATTTTTTTTTTTGAGTACCATAAGCACATTTTGTCTAATTTATCAAAACCTTAAAAAATACTTTTTTCTAACCTAGGCTTGGAAGTCCGTACATTTATTCTTCTACAAGTTTGATACTTTGTGAAGCTGGTATTTTAGTAAGAACTTTAAGTGATCATGTCAAAAGCATCATACTTTTTAAAATAGATTTTCGTGTATATTCTTATGGCTTAAAAATATTAAACCATCATTGGCCATAATATCTGATATCAATATATTTGAAAACGTATCTGCTGGTAACAATCAATAGTATAGACATAGTCTGATAATTGCTATTAGGAATTTATTGTACTTTTTGAATTTCTGTGAATCAGTGAAGTCCCACTTTCATTGTATTTTAAAATCAAGGCTTTAGAGTTGCCTGTTTTTGTAACTGACCTTTTGTGGATATTTGCCACTTGGTCTAATATTGATCCATGTAGTAAGAAGTCAAATGACCAAGTTGGTGGGAAATACAAATCTTGTATGTGCAGTTTTGAAATACATTCTCTATTTCAAGTATTTTCACGTGTCTTTTTCTCAACTAAGTGGCCTCCCTATTTACAAATTCACTGAAATCAAATTGAAAAAAGTTCTGATATAAGAGCTAGTTTACTGCTTTCATCAACATGTTACCAAATGTAAAGAAAGAAAAAACACCACACCATGATTAAGGAAGTTAAAGGTGGTGGCAAACAGAGACATTTCCTAGAACAGTGTTGTTGTTGTTGTTGTTTTAAATACTGGCTGTGATTACCTTGCATAAAATGTAGTTAAACAAGATTTTCTGAGTTGTGAAGATGATTCTCTGAGCAGATTTCACCTCTGGTTCTGACTTTGCATGTCCTTTCTTCCCTTTGGAATCCCTGACCCTCTCAGACTCAGATAATTTTGAGCAGCTCAGAAAATTCTGTTCTGGAGAGCACGCCTCCCACGCTCTCTTCCCAAGGTCCATTTGCTCATCTTGTGCTGGTGTGTGGTATGTGCCGGCAGGCTGGTTTGTGCAAGCGCACCCTGATTGCCCCTTTAATCTCTCTTGAGAAGGTAGGGATCCTGTCCTCCCTCTGTATTCCTACCAAGCAGAATATGCCAAAGGACATGCTGTTCAGTGTTCAAGGTCAGGGCTCCAGGGGTGGCCAACCTGGAGGGGCTCCTTTGTAACGAAGACTATCCAGATGGCAGGCTTTGCTCTCCTGGGAGCGCTGCTCGTGCAAGAAGGGGAGAAGCTACGAGTGAGTAGTTGCGAAGCGAGTTACCATGCTATGCAACCTCACTGCAGATGGGTCCCTGCAGCGGATGCTTTGTCCCAGTTGCTGCTCCTGGACACCCAGTGCATAAGGTCCCCCCAGTAAACCTACATCTCCATCGCCATCTTGGGTCATCTCTTCAGTCTTTCTGGGCCATCACCCACCCTCGGCTTAGAGTCTGTGTGGTTGGGGGACACAGCTAAGGACGAAAACATGAGCAAAACTCAGTTCCTGCCTTCAGCAACTGATGCTGTGTGGCACAGTGGTTTAAAGGTCGACCTAAATTCAGTCTGGGGTCTACCATTTACTACTTGTGCACCCCTAGTTTACTGTCTTCAGCACAGAGCCTACTAGTACCCACCTCAGAGGGTTACCGCGACCACCCAAAGCGACAAATGCAGTAACAGCGTCAGCTGCTGTTCAGCTGTTAACCAGCGTCCAGTGACTCCAAGAAGTGCTCCCCTGCCCGAGATGGCTCCCTCTCTCTCCCATAGGGCCTCAGTTCTCAAGGATGCATCAACATGGACCTGTTTCACCACATTTCCTAAGGGCCATCCAAGGTATCTGTAAATAACAACACCAAACAGACTTATTTTCAGACACAAGCCATGTCTCCTTGACGTCCTACAGCTGGTTGAAAAATAAAGATCTGGGGACACCTGGGTGGCTCAGTTAGTTGGGCGACTGCCTTCGGCTCAGGTCATGATCCTGGAGACGCGGGATCAAGTCCTACATCGGGCTCCCTGCTCGGCGGGGAGTCTGCTTCTCCCTCTGACCCTCCCCCCTCTCATGCTCTCTCTCTCATTCTCTCTCTCTCAATAAATAAATAAAATCTTTAAAAAAAAAAGAAAAAGAAAGATCTGGATCCATTAGCAGAGGTATTGTTTCTACCAAGCCAATCAATTTACTTTAATTGAATGTTTCCCTTGAATACTATTTTGTTCATCTCTACACAACCAAAGGAAAGACAAAACAAACAAGCAAACTAAGTCATAGAAGACTTCACATCACAACCCAAAGAAATAATACAAACTAGCTCTGTTTTCTTCTTTGAAGTTATCTGGGGGGTCAGTGGGAGAGACATCCCGACGGGAGCAGAATTTCAGCGCTAAGCGGCTTTTTACTCGGCCTGTGGATCGAACCAGCCTTAACATTACAGACAACCAGGTCTGTGGACAAATGAAAGTGACAGTTGTGCCAACCTGAGCTTACGTTTTGTACTTTCTCTCTTGCAAGGAAAAGCCTGCCAGCCCTTCACATGGCTTCATGTGGGACCAACATCTGGGGTTGGCTTCATCCGATACACCTGCAGAGGTCATCTGCTGTATCACAGACTCGGTGCCACACAGAGCATGGTGAACTATGAAATGTTTGGTGACCCCATGGCAGATGTTGACATTTCTGAAGTCGGTGGGGAAACTAGAAACTAAAAGCACAGACTAGCTCTGCAGGTTTTATCCCCAACCTGGAGCAGCCCATTATATCTGCAGGCCACAGAAGACAGGGAACATTGCTGTGCTAAAAATCATTCCTTGCTCCTTGTGGTCAATCTTACTCTATCCATCCTTTTCCTCCTCATCTCGCTTATAGCCTATAATATTCTTCTAACTTCCTTTGTTTTTTTGTTTGTTTGTTTTGCCTTTCCTTTGGTTGTGTAAAGATCCAACAAAATAGTATTCAAGGGAAACATTCAATTAAAGTAAATTGATTGGCTTGGTGGAAACAATACCCCAGCTAATGGACCAATATCTTTAGTTTTCAACCAGGTGTAGGACGTCAAGGAGACATGGCTTGTGTCTCCCTGTCCCCAACTCCGTCTTATTCCGATCTCCATGCTTGATTCCATTCCAGCTCACTTGTTGGTTTCCCCTCCTTCTATCCAGATTGACACCACTTTCAGAGCCTTTCCAAAAATGTTGAAGTAAAACTGTGGGGGAGAGATTTTCCCACAATTAAAAAAAAGCAGTTTTCCAAGATCCCAGAGAGTACAAGTAATACATTATGTTGAATAACAAATGCTAAAGGCATCAGGAAAATTATGCAATGACTTTAAGATGGTGGGAACCAAGTGTCTCAGGAGACATCCTTTATCTACTTCATCCAAGAAGAACATGCACAGATGTGCAAGAATTGAAGGGCTAACTAAAGCAGCAACAATGTCACACAGAGGAAATGCAACATTTCGAAGGAGGGAGGCTTAATATTCTTTTTATAAATTCCAAAATGTCCTTACGTTCTTCTGTTGATTTGAAACTTGTGTCTTCTTCCTGCTCTTGATGTCCAAGAAAAAAAATACACCGCATCTAAATTAAGTAGAGATTCTAGAGTTGAGGTCTTAACTCCTGGAAGACTGAGTGATCTAAGTCTCACTTTGGGGATTGAGAGGTAGCCTGTACCCAGATTCTAGACAGGCCAATTCTGCTCGGCTGCCACCAGTCAGAGCACTCATGAGGACAGACCATAAAAAATGACAAGAATTCTTATTATCCTGGTGAGTTGAAATCTGACTCCCTGGACTGGTTGGGGTGGCCCTGAAACGAAGGAGAGGAGAAATTTCCAGCCTCCACAATACAGGAAAGTGTCCTGGAAAGAGGATGGAATAGATTTTGGAGTCTAATTTATCAAATGCAATGAAACTCTCCAATAAAGCAGGGCAAATAGTGAGTGAGAGTGACTGGGAGCTACTTCAGATTGGGTGGTCAGGGTGATATTTTAGAAGAGGAGGCATCTGAGCTGAGGCCTGAAGGATAGTCAGGAGCCAAGCATATGAATGTCTGAGGGAAGGAAGTTTTGGCAGAGGGAAAAGTAGTTGCAAAGGTCCTGATGTGGGAACAATTGTTGGGGAGCAAGAGTTCCCGTCCCTTCAAAGATCCTTCTAGCTGGACTAAGAATCAAATTGACATAAGACAGAGTAATAGGAGAAAATCAAATTTAATAGGTGTACATATGGCAATCCACATAGACATGGAAATTCCAAAGACAGGCAAAATGAGGTCTATATGTCATTCTGAACTAAGGAAAAGGGGGAACAGATCTGGGATTTCAGAGGACAAGAATGCACTTCACAGGGTGGCAAGAAGAGCAGATGTTTGACAATTAAATGTTTGCCCCACCATGCAGATGGGTCACTCAGATAAAACTTATTTCTGTTAATCCCTATGCCAAAGAGGCATATTTTGGAGTGGTTCATTTTGTTCCCTGACAAAGGGGAAGGACCATGTCTCATTTGTCTTTGTATCCCCAGCTCCCAATACATACTATACACTCAGGAAATGTCAGGTGAGTACTCCGAGAAGTGGAGAACATCCGAGAGAGTAAGGGGGAAATTATCTGAGACAAATTGTTCTTACTTCAAAATAAGATACGTGGCTGAAAATAACCTGAACGTTGCTAGACCAAAGGGCTATGGGCCATTTGAGCAACAGTGACTGATTGTTCTAATTACAATCTGTGAGCTTCTGAGACCCCCCCAAAAACTTGAAAACTGAATTACAAATAAAAATCACAAAATTCATGGCTAGGAATATAGATCAAGGTTGAGAAGGGTGGTTTGCTTCTTTCAAGATGAAAAATTCATGACATGTAATATACTCTCTTGGAGAGGTCTTATTCATTTCTTCAATAACTAGGTACTTAGGAATTCTTTCTGTGCCAAACACCAACACACTTACAGGAATGGCAAAATAAGTCAAACACTATCAGGAAGGGGAGTGAAGAGGACTTCTGTTAA